TGTTAACTTAATCACTCTTAGAGTTCGATTGGTCTATAACAGTGTGAGTCGAGCATTGTGTACCCGAACAACTCGACCTATTTGTATAGACCAATGGGCACTCGCTGGGTGTTGCGGTCAAATTTCTTCGGATTTAAACCCACGTCCTTTGCGAACCAAGGCGAGCGTCTAGTCGCTACACCACGGTGGTTGCCTCATTCACGTTTACTTTACTGTAAATGCAGGATTGGACACAAAAAAATGAAAACTGAAAGATGGCTGTAGATAGAGACAGGGGAAACTAATTTTCTCAAGTGGCCAGGGTTATGCTCCATCAATGACTAGGCCTCCACGATGATCGATTATTGTGGCTTTTGTTGATGGCTTTATGTACAAAGGCGAAAGTGATATGTCGACGTTTTATTGATGGCTTTTCCCGTAGTCATAGCTTGTGGTATTATCATGCGAATTGGTAGTTTGTTGCCTAATCTGGAAAATAATTCTTTGTTTTATTCTCTAAATTATTTTTTTTTTCCTCTTCCATAGTTAATGCATTGTTTGGTCACGTTTGTGAAATAATAGTTGGTTCAATTATAAGTAAAAATGTGTTGTCCTATAATGTAAAAAAAAATATATGTTGTCCCTTAATGTGAAATAGTAGGTTGTCCCATTATGTGAAATAGTAGGTTGTTCCACAATGTGAAATCATAGATTGTCCCATGAGGTTAAGTTTAAAAAAAAAATGATGTCAGACAAATTAAGCACTCTTTTCACTTCCTTGTTGCATCGAGCTGGATCTATTTTTGTGCAGTATGTATGCCTGAGGGCTGACATATTTCTGTTCAGAAGTCGGCACTAGGTAGGTGATGTGGTTAAATAACATTACGCTTTAGGTAATAATTATTAACAGTCTCCACCTCGAGCGGAGTTCGAAACGTGGCTACTTTTGGAAACGTAAACTGAATTGCCCGAAAGAAAATAAGATTCCATATTAAAATAATGCGGGTACAGTTGTGTAAGACAACTGGATCTATACAAATCGATAGCGCATGCAGCAGGAAGCCTTGCATGCGTTTGTTATCGTGAATAGATAAGTGTGTGCCAGTTTGGAATCGTGAATAGATAAGTGTGTGCCAGCTTGGAATCGCCATGTCACTTTATGATTAACAAGATATATTGTTAAAAAGTTAGCATTTTGAAAGTATGCATCTTGCCTGTAGCAACATCCTGACGTGGGTCGTGGATTATCTCCTAGTCCTTAAGGAAGAAGATAAGAGCTTTGGAGTTGAAATGTTGTAGAATGATTCTCAGAATGCTATGGATAAAGAAGAAAGAAATACTGACATTGTAAAAGATCTGAACATCAAGGAAGGTTCGCTGATAGTCAGCATGCTGTCTCGGAAGCTGAAATATGTTGGCCATTTCAAGCGCCACGATGGATTGGGGAAAAATAATAGCAGAAGGCATGGTACCAGGAAAATGGGGTGGGGGCAGGGGCTAACCAACACGAAGATGGGTATAGGATATAAGTGACTCCTTGGATATGGAGGTGCACGAGGTGGGAGGGCTGACACAAGACCGAGTTTCTTTCGGGCAGGTCGTAATGAGAGCGACGCTGGGCAGAAGACCATCCTAGATGATGGTCATTTTGTTATTTTAGAATAATAAAGATAGATTGTCAGAACAATAGACGTGTTGTTACACTTTCACCCGCACATGCTTTTTCAGTGCGTATGCTCAAGGCAGATAGAGATGGGTCCAAAGACAGTGGATGGTGTTGCTGAGGCGGTCGTGGCTGACGTAGATCGGTTTCATTCGTCTGTTGGTCCCCCGCATCTTAGGCAGATGCACTAATACCGTGAAGGAAACACCCCTCATTAGTCGCCATGTACCGCATGTTTGTTGATGGAAAGGGGTAGGAGGAGGGGGGGGGGGTAGGACAGTGGGCGTATCCTATTTTTTCTCTCTTCTTCTTTTTCTTCTTCTTTCTTCTTCTTCTTCTTCTTCTTCTTCTTCTTCTTCTTCTTCTTCTTCTTCTTCTTCTTCTTCTTCTTCTTCTTCTTTTTCTTCTTCTTCTTTTTTTTTGTTCGCCGGCTGTAAACTTTGTGCCTGGGCCTGAGCTTTAAGTAGACTCCAATTTTACTGGTTTATTTGTGTGCAGTTACTTGTTCCTTGCCGCTTGGGCAGATGCAGTCAGTCCGACTTGTAAGGAAGTCTCCAATTAGTCGACTCCTACGACACGCTTGTTGGAGAGGCAGTGAGTCTGTTCTTGTTCTCCCTACAATGGGTCCCCGGAACTACATGGGGAATTTTTCTCTCAACACCAGACCTCTGAACCCACGCAGGGAAGGATCAAGTGATTGTGTTCAATAATTGTATTTAAGAAAATATGATGAACTTAATAGCACTGAGCGTTTAACATTACTCAGAGCACTGACCGTGTAACATTACTAAGAGCACTGACCGTGTAACATTACTCAAAGCACTGACCGTGTAACATTACTCAGACAGAACACTACTTTGTTAACTAGTTAAAAAGATGACGTCCTCAATAAAATGGATTGAACTGAGACGGGTATGCATAGCTCGTCGACTTCGTTTCTCTCGGCTGCACAATCACATAAAGGTAGCCGATCCCTTGTTGAATGCTGAATTAAGAATCGACATCACAGCACTCGGGACACTACCATAAGCGCTCCATCCCCATCTTCGGCAGCAAGTGAAGAATTCAAATTCCGATGGCACCAGTAACTACTAAATCTGACAGAAAATTCTGAAGGCACATTTGACTCGGTGATGACTAACGGGGGTTGCCACACGTTGTGTTCCATCTGCAATGGAGGAATTTGACTTGTCTTCAATAAAAAAAATGTCTCAAATGAACGTGTTTTCATCGGCAATTGTCTTATACATTCACTGGCAAATGTGTTTGTCGTGGCTGAAAAGCTAACTACAATGCCCGGCAGCGATAAAAACGTCCCTGTCTGCGGGCCGTTTAGAGGGACGTCACCCAAACGCACATTGGAGGTGATGAGGAATTCGAATTCTTTCCCCCTACTTCACCAGGTACTTACACGGTAAGTTTTTTAAAGGTTTTTTTCCCCGCTTCAGGGTTGCAGTCTGGGAGCCGTCGTGGTCTAGCGGCTAGACGCTCGCTTGCGGGTCGGAAGATCGTGGGTTCGGGTCCTGGCGTGGTCCGGCCTTTTTTCAAAACTTACCTTGGCTCTCAGATCGACCCGGCCTTGAATGGGTACAGGGTGCAGTCCTGGCAACTAAAGGCGGCCGGCGTGACGCTGACCACATTACTCACTAAGTGCCGTTTGGTCTGTAAAATATAGGTCTAGCCCTATGTACCCAATACCCCTAAGAGCGTGGGAAGGTGGCTTTTAGGGTTGCAGTCTGTAGGATTACCATCTCAAGGAGGAGAATCAAACATCTGTACGTCCCGGAAACCCTGTTCGGTTATTTATTAGTATCCTACCCTAGATTACGTCACAGGACAGTCCAACATTTTAGAGGGTGGTAAGACTAGATTTTCCTGCTTTGTGATGCTTTTAACGACCTCAGAACATATAGAACTGGCCCTAACACCAACCCACCTACGTCCCACGACTGCATGCATCCTATCTACCACCTACTGAAATGTTAGACTGTCCCTTGACCTGGGGATTTCCCCTGTTTGGGGTAGGATATTATTAAAGCACCCCCTGTTCAACCACATAACCGTCTAGCGCAGTTTGGCGAAGCGTTTACAAAATCGGGCTCCCACGCTGGAGACCCTGGTTCGACCCCCGGTAAGGAGATGGAGTTTTTCTGTCTGGGGCAGAATTAAACATCCTAATCTGCACAGGCCGTGGCGACAGCACTAGCCAAGCGGCTCTAAATTTTCAGGCTCAAGGCTCCCCTGTCTGCACCGCCCTAAAAAATTGGTAAAACAGACAGTGGTGGCAGTTAAACTGGGACAAAACCGTTACAAGTAGCCGAGCTATTCAGCTGGCGGCCCGCGAGCCATATCTGACCCGCGGAGCCCTAGCAAGTGGTCTGCGGATCACTGCCAGTTTTGTTGTATTAATGATATTTCTATGCTGGGGCTGAAACCTATGACCCGCGACGATCTTTATTCCCAGCATGTTGGCCCCAAAGTAAACTTAGTTCTTGTAGTCTGTTCAGTGTTTGGCTTTGTTGAAGTGATATGATCAAGTCATATGTAAACGTAAATGACCCTTGTCCATGCCTCTGGTCGTTTTGTGAACATAGAGATAGGCCTATATTCTTCTTTTCCTTCTTCTTCTTCTTCTTCTTCTTCTTCTTCTTCTTCTTCTTCTTCTTCTTCTTCTTCTTCTTCTTCTTCTTCTTCTTCTTCTTCTTCTTCTTCTTCTTCTTCTTCTTCTTCTTCTTCTTCTTCTTCTTCTTCTTCTTCTTCTTCTTCTTCTTCTTCTTCTTCTTCTTCTTCTTCTTCTTCTTCTTCTTCTTCTTCTGTTGTTGTTGTTTTTCCTCCAGTCTTCTTTCTGTTTTCTTAAAATGTAGGAAAATAAATTCAGTCTTTTAAAATGGGTGCAGACAGTTTTTGTATGTGTGAAAATTGCAATAGCACGACATACCAGAAATAGAGCGAATAGCGTTTCAATCTCATTATGTCAAAGCTTAGAATAATACGTGAAGGCCTGGCAGTTTACATCCTAATGACGTTATCTGCTAATGGATCTATTTCTCTCTCTGTCTGTCTCTCCTTCTCTATCTCTCTCTCTCTCTCTCTCTCTCTCTCTCTCTCTCTCTCTCTCTCTCTCTCTCTCTCTCTCTCTCTCTCTCTCTCTCGATCGGTCTTCTCTGTATTATCTTCGAGAATCTAACCGACACTGAGGACTCAGGGGAAAGGCAAAAGAGACATACGATCAAACTGTTATAGGCACCATCGAAATTGGCCTCCGCTCTGGCTGCTGAAGATGGGGGACAGTTAGGGAAATTCCCTGAGTTCCAAAATGTCAATTCTTAGCTCAACACAACCGTTTCTTTTGTTTCAGGAAGAAGACGGACCAGAAGACAGGATTATCAGCAAAGGGTGCCTCCAAGCCGGCTGCGGGTCGCGCCAGTCCCCTCATGGGCAAGAAAACCCAGGGCCTGCAACAGGAATCTGGGTCACAGGCCGCGTCGACCTCCTTATCAGGCATCAGTGGTGTCAGTCAGTATGATGATGGCGGCACACCCGGTGCCAGTTCGGAAGATTTGGTGGTGAGTACTTTCTTATGTTGTTATTGTTGTTGTCTTCGTTAAGATCTTTATTTTTTTTTTTTTTTTCTGAAAGCACTTGTTTCATTTTGAACCGTCAAATAAACATAAACATAAACAATCATTCGCTCATGCATGTTGTATAGAACAGAAACGGTTGACTGATCACCGACACGTTCATGTTGACTGTGCTTTAGCCTTCATTGTGGGTTCCTGGATTAGAGACTAACAACCGAGCTCCTTTTTACGGCGACCCTGAAAATCCCAGTCTTTGTGGGTTGTAGATTCTCACGTGATCTGATCCCACTCTTAGAAGGCCAGGAAAAGGAGTCCACCAAGGGTTACTGGCATTCTTATGGGTGCCAATAATGAAATCCTTACCTGCATAGTTGTTTGCGACTGCACTAGTCATGAGGCCCTAGGTCCTTAGGCTCAATGAACCCGCCTTCCTTCTTAGTCCTACAGGGCCCTAACATTGTTAAACACGGGCAGTAAAGATTAGATTTGAGCACTGCGGAAAAAGACAGTTGTTTTCTTTTAGTCTGAATAATCAAGATGTCTGTCGAAGCTGTGGAATGTAAATACAATCCCCGAAGACGTAATCTCACCGAGAAAACTAAAAAAGTAATGGAGGTTTTGGGCAAGACCGTCTAGAGAATGAGACGTCTCATTTTGTTGTGCGTGAACTCTTACTGAGGGAGTCACACACAAAATTAGCTTTCTGTGGCTATTCTGGACGAGGCGAAGTTTTAAATCAGGGGTGAGTTGGGCATGAACTCTCTTGCTAAGGAGTGTGGAACTCATTAAATAAATTAATACTTCCAGTATCTATTCTGGATGAAGTTGTAAATCAAGGGCGATAAACCATGTTCTTCCAGTATATTTAATTTGGATATTTGTAACATCATTCCCAGCCATACAGGGGGCAGCATGGTCTCGAGGCATGGTGTCCGCCTCGAGTGCTAGAGGTTCCGGGTTTAATCGCCGTTAAGGGCAGGGATTTCACGTGAACTTTGGCGTAGTGAGATCGGACGCCCGTGTCCATTGTTGCGCTCGTAAAGATCACTTAGCAGTTGGAAATTGAACAGAGTTCCCTGACAAAATGTGAAGTTAAAAATATACCCAAAGTATTTCAGGATCCTGCTACAGCGCCTGTGCACTGTGCTGAGCTTTTTCGGATTCAGACTTGAGTTAGAAGAAGAACGGAGCACTTATGTGTTACTAACCTTGTGCCATGATGTTGATCCGTTGGTCAAACCTCAACCCTCATCCCGGCCATACAACATTACCAACTTCTTGTGATGAGCCGAGACTAGATATTTATACAGCACGCCGGCCTTGCCGTTCTTTACCTGTGCTTTAACTAGTATCAAAGTTATGAAATGTTGAATTAGAAATCGACATCACAGCACTCGAGACACTTCCATGAGCGCTCCTCTCCCATCTTCAGCAGCAAGCGAAGAGTTCAAATTCCAATGGCACCAGTAACCGTCTATTAGTGTATCCGTCTCGCCTTTCCCTTGAGTGTTGGGCGTCTGCAAGATCCCCTGGTAAAACTCATGGCAGCGCCATTTTTTGTTAGACCGTAGCGATCTGTCTGTGCCTCCGCACTGTTCACTCGCTCCCAGGGGGGCCCTCGCAACAGCCAACTTGTCATACATCAGTTCACCACCAAGTGATGCCTGCTCGGCTGCCTGCTCGTTTCCCAACACACCGGCCTGACCTGGAGATAAATTATGGAAGAAGCTTGTGAATGATTGCTGAAAATAAAATAAATACATATACACCCATTGTTTAGCGCACATAGAGGCTGATGAAACAAGGAGACTTGGGAAAGCAAACTAGCATAAATAGCGGTCGAAAGCTGTAGTTACGATACCGAGGTTCTTTCTTACTTGCGGCCACAGAGCTTTCATTCCGAGATCCAACCCTGTCGATTGTAAATGCTAGTTATTGCTCATTTTGGAACTTTCCAGCGCAGTATATGGATTGTCGTCGTGTGTTTTGATATGTACCATTCACAAATGTGATACTTAGTATTACTTTCTTCTACCACTTCTGTGCTTCTTCTCTTCTTCTCCTCCTCCTCCTTCCCCATTCATCTTCTTCTTCCTCTTTCTCCACGTCTGCTTTTTTTTTCCTCTTCCTCCTTCAATGCCGACGCAGTTTGCCAGGTACAAAGGCTGCCATTATCGGAATAAACCAGTCTTCAAAGCCCCCCCCCCCCCCCCCACCCAAACCCCCACCCCGCCCCCACTCGCAATCTTTTTGCAAAAGTCTACTAATTAGTGGTATTTCCTTCGAAGTCAAGGTGCATTTTTCTGAGGGGGAACGAAACCAAGTCTGCGTGTAAAACGGGTGGGCACGCACATCTCAAGTTTTTTAACACGGCCAAAGTCCAAAAGTGGACGAACAACGGAAACTTCCAATAAAAATGTACAGCAAGTAAACGCTAAGAAGCAGCAGCAGCAGCAGCAGCAGAAGAAGAAGAAGAAGAAGAAGAAGAAGAAGAAGAAGAAGAAGAAGAAGAAGAAGAAGAAGAAGAAGAAGAAGAAGAAGAAGAAGAAAAAGAAAAAGAAGAAGAAGAAGAAGAAGAAAAGGAAGAAAAAGAAGAGGAAGAAAAGATACAACAATTTGACCCTAGAAGCCACAGGTGGAAAGCACTTCAAATACTTAACATTCATTTTCTTTTCTTGTTGATGTCTACTGCATGTTCATTACCTTGCCTGTCCTAGGGTTTCTCCCCAGGTACACTAGAAGCCATCTCTTCCACTGAAAACCTCTTGGTTGGAATTATTAATGACGTGCTGGGCATTAAGGGCTAGACCTATATTTTATAAACCAGTCGGTACTCAGTGAGTAATGTAATCAACGTCAAGCCGGCCGCATTTACTTTCCAGGACTCTACCTAGTACCCATTTAAGGCTGGGTGAACGTGGAAGCCAGTCATTTTTTTTACAGAAAAGACGAAAGTGCAGGTCCATCAGGACTTGAACCCACGACCTTCGGATCTGCAGGCGAGCGTCTAGCCGACACACCACGGTGGCTTTCCTGTTTTGGGACCTTTTACGTCATTCCGAAACTTGTATCCCTTTTATTATCCAGACGAATGAAAGTGTATTTACTTACCTTCGGCATTTCAGCAAATGCTAACGCAATTAGGCGCTATAAACGTTCTTAGAAAACTAAACTCAAACAGTGTAATTGTTGATTCAGCAAGTGTGGAATTAGCCTAGTTGATTTATTGGATTATTGGCTGTAGGGTTTAAATCAGCGATTCTTAAGGTTGTATGATTGGAACTTACGTTGTTTGTGAAAATAGTGTGAATTCATCCCTTTTTCTATTCCGGTTTTTCCTTGAAGGGTTAACCTTCAGCGCACCCATTCCTTGATTTTAGTCTAGCAGGATAATCCCTGATACACGCTTTCTCTTCTTCTTCATCTTCTTCTTCTTCTTGTGCAATTGCCCTAAAAGCGACGTGTTGTACTTTATGTTGTGGTTTACAGTTAGGCTGTGATATATGTGCCTTTCGGCCCCCAAAAAATCCGACTTCAACAGAGACGTCAGCTTTCCCATCCTGATTTCAGTCGCTATTGACAACATGCTTATAATAGAACAGTGCCTCCCACCCGCACCCAACCCCAGCGGAGCCCAGAAATCCACGCAGGAAGATACACGGTTAAACCTCGCTATCTTCTTCTTTTTCGCGTTTACCGGCTGGAAAATTCGGAATATTCGTCCACCTCTAGACTTTGGTCCTATTCCAGAATATGAGTGTTACTTGCACGTCTGTTTTACAAATCTGGCTTTTTTGTATGCATTCTCTAGGTTTCTTGCCTGTCAAACAGATGTACTTTGACTTCAAAGGATGACATCGATATAACCAAGGCCTCATTAACGACTCTACTATGTAATACCCTACTTTACTGTGCAAGTCTTCAGCGACAAATAATTTTCTTCGAAACTGCTTGCGATGGGGAGATTGGGGGAGAGATCCCAGGGATTATTGCTGGAGCTACGGTGCTCATGTTTGTGCTTTTTTCCATGCTCTTGGCTTTTCCGGTGGTTTCATTCTTGGGGAAAGACTGAGCCATGTGAGATCAACCTCAGCTCAATAAAGTCGTTCCTGTCGACTTAAACATTGAAAACCCGCATCATGGCAAAAGTTACTTTAGACAGTATCGTCAAGCGTGTGTCTCAGTACATCCGATTTCGCAAGCATTATGCTAGAATGGAGGAGGGGCTGGTCGAACGGTTAGGATGCTGGACTCTCAAGCGGGAGACCCGGGTTTGAATCCCCCTGGTAGTTTTTTTTTTCTTTTTTCTGTCGGGGGTAAAATAAAATCCACACCCGCACAGTCGTGGCGACAGCACTAGCCATGCGGCCGTGAAACTTCGGCTCAAAGACCCCCCTGCCTACACCGCAAAAGTAGTATAACAAAGCCAGTAATTGGCAGTTTTATCCTAGATTATCTGTCCCTAGCCTTGCACAATCTACAGTCTACCCACAAGGCAGCAGGTTTGTGTCTCTTTTCATCTGGGGTAAATACCTTTAAACTATCCGACATTGAAGACCCTCAGGTGTAGCCAAGTTACCTTGGCATAATAACATGTGAGGTCATTGAAACATGAAAACCCTTCTATCACTTCAAGCTAGGGTCTGTGCATTGGCGTTTAGGACAAGAATTTCTGAGAGTGACATACGGTTAAGCGCCTGAGGGAGGAACGCATTACAACATACACCTGTGGCTGTCCAACGATCTGTCTTCCATACTGCTTGCTTCTATCGTCATGCTGTTTTGGAACCGTTGCTGTCAGCTTTAATTTAAAGTGTTGAAAATATTTTAGTTCAATATTTGATTTTCGGTTTTATAGCGTCGTTCACAGCTTTAAAGTAGTCCAGTCTGTTTTGAAAGCCGTGTTTATCTGTCTGTCTGGAAAGCGGAGTTTTCTCAGGGTGTTCATGCAACGATTATCAAAATGTATTTGTTCAGCGGCCTTT